GAGATGGCTGAAGGCCTATGGACGTCCACGCCAGAAGGTAATGATCATCGCGGGGCGAGGATCACGTGATTGACATCACGCCAAGACGACCGTCAGACGCTAGTATGTGATGGCAGCAATCCTTTGATGGCAGCCATCAGGACATCAGGCCAAGCAACGGAAAAGTCGTGATGGCAGTGATGGCAGGACTGGAAGCAATGAGGATATAAGGATGGATGGATTTCATTATTACTCTCGTTGTGGTCAACTCAAATTGTACTTTCTTACTAGTATTCTTTACTTCACAAGATAGTTACATGTTAGTCTATTGAATAGATTAGCGTTGTCAAACCCCGGTTACATCCATAACTCTTTTCCACTACGAATCGCCAGACAACTCTCACGGAGCTAGTCCCTATTCCTACTCGCCCTAACCCGGATCGAGCCAGAGAAGTATTAGCACCCAACCCCGTGTAACACTTTGACCACCCACGGATTCAGTGGAGGATTAACCAACAGCGTCCGATTAAGATTACACCATGTCACGAAACTCCAACGAGTATGTCAACGTTCAGGGCCAGGGGCCTGAGGAGAACATCGACATGACTGGTGATACCCACGGAGGTATCGACGAGCCGGCGGCAGGGAGCCCCGAGTACGAACTCGTCAATCTTAGACGCGAAGGCCAGAATCAGGCTAGACAGATAGCAGGGTTGCAGGATACGATCAACCAACTCCTGGGTCAGCTGATGGCTACACCAAACGAGAGGAAGTCTACATCGAAACCCAAGATGGCACCACCAGAGAAGTTTGACGGAAGTCCTCACGAACTATGGACGTTCCTCACCAACATCGACCTATACAACGAGTATCACGATGTGCCCAACGATCAGGATAAGATCCTAGTGACTAGCACGTATATGAAAGGACGAGCAGCCAAGTGGATGCAGCCACACGTCAAGGATTACCTGAAGGACATCACCAACCATGGAACCAAGGTCGACACCAAGGAAATCTTCAGCAGCTGGGACAACTTCAAGAAGGAAGCAGGACGCATCTTTGGGGAGATAGACGAAAAGGACCAGGCAGAGAAAGCAATCACTCGCCTGAAGCAGACCAAGTCAGTGTCCGATTACACGGCTGAGTTCAAACAACTGCAGGCCAGGATCGATTGGGACGACGCAGCACTTCGAGCGGTATTCGAAGATGGTCTGAAGGAAAATGTCAAGGACGGACTAGTACACCATGAGAAGCCAGAAACGCTGCACGCACTGATAGAATTGGCAACCCGAATCGACCACAGGCTGTGGGAAAGGCAGCAACGACGCAGGGCCACCCAGCCCTTCTTGCCAAATACCAGGAGGCAACGCAGCAGACTCGACAAGGACGGCGATACGATCATGACGGGAAAGGTACAAGACAAGTCCAAAGACAGGAAGACCCGAGGAAAGTTTAACGACGGCCTTTCCGCGGAAGAACGCAAGAAGCGTTACGACAGTAAGGCATGCCTCCGATGCGGTGAAGTAGGACACTTCCGCAAGGATTGCCCGAAGAACGAAGTCAGACAAGGAGCGGTCAAGATTGGGATGATTCGGATACCAACACCATACCCAACTGAGGAACTGGACGAGACCCTCAGCGACCTAGACCTGTACGATGAAGCAAGACAAGCCACGGACGAGGCCTTTGAGCTAGTACAAGAGGCAATAGGACTCCAAGACTTCAAGTGGGACAACCCACTACCGACAGATTGGCAGGTTGAAGGGGCAGAAGTACTACGCCGCCTAAGAAACCAACAGTGCTGGATTTGTGGACTAAATCAACACCAAGCCAACGATTGCGATATCGACGGACGAATCACAGTCACGGGACCCCGTGCAGAGGAGATTGCCTGCAGGGCTGCCCAGGAACAACCCAGGTTCAAGGAACCTGATGACGAGGAAACGCCTCGGACGTTCAAGGAACGAATGGAGCAACACGAGCGCCTATGTTGGGTCGACTGCCCAAGACAGTGTGATTACCACTTGAGGAAGCGAGAGGAGACCAGGGACAACGAGGACGATTGCTGCCACACCAACCTATGGCATAACGAGTGTCGTGTACCGCATTGCTATATGCACCAGCCAGGAGAAAAGGAGGCTCACGAAGAGCTGTGCTGGATCAAGTGCACGATCAATTGCCAGTTCCATCGGGAACAACGACGGAAAGCTAGACGGGTAGACGACTACTACCATAGCACGATATCCGCCGAGGAATGCATCGCGAAGAATTGCCGGATGCATCGAGGGCAAGAAGCCAGGGTCACGAAGGACCAATTGCCCAAGACACAGAGGAAGCTGGAACCAAAGAAAGGGACTGCGAAGAAGGAGATACCTCACCGCAATGTCCATTGGAGCTTCTGTTACGACGACCAGTGTACGATACACTATTCCGCCAAGGCAGGCGAAGGCTACTTTCCTACGCAGAGGAAAGGTAGGCAGTCAAAAAACTAGGATGCCACCAGGGACAGGGTCACGCTGGTAAAGGCAGTCCTAAAACGACCCTCAAGCAAGTACAGGAGAAGGGAGCAGAAGAGCTGCAACTGAAGGCCCCAGTACTTGTAGACGGACACAAGGTGCTAGCGCTCATAGACTGTGGGGCTGCACGAACCGTCATCTCACCCCGAGTGGTAGAGAAACACGACATACCCTATCGGAACAAGAAGGTACCGATGCGAGTGGTATTAGCCGACGATAGTCCCACGGCATATGGGAACGGCTGGATTCGACTTGAGACCGAGGCTGTATCGTTACGCCTGGCTGGTCAAGAAAGCCGAACAAAGATTAGCATTATGGATCTTGGAGACACCGAGATGATAATTGGCTACGATTGGTTGTTGAAGCACAACCCTGCCATCGACTGGCAAAAGAAAACGATACTCAGCCGAGAACCTGTGCACAAGGTTGCTGGTATACGTCGAGAAACACGCCCGATGAATCAACGCGCGAACCTGGATGGGCGATTCGGTGTGATTTCGCCGCATAAGATCGCGAGAATCTATGCGAAGGACCCTCGGAAGGTAGGAGTCATTTGGATACGGCAGGTCGCGACCACGAAGGAAGGACCGGTACCACAGGTTGCGCCCACGAAGGACGAACCGCTGTTGGCGATTCCAACAGAATACCGAACACAAGAGTTCAAGGAACTGTTCGAGGAAAACGAAGCAACAGACTTAGCAGAACACCAGGATTGGGATCATGAGATCATCCTGGAGGAAGGAGCGAAGTTGAGCCCCGGAGGAATGTACCCTATAGCGCCCGAGCACGATGCTGAGCTGCGGGATTACCTCCAGAAGAACTTGAAGAAGGGATTTATCCGACCGGGATCAGGCCCGATGGCCTCACCCATTTTGTTCGTAAAGAAGCCTAACGGGAAGTGGCGACTATGTGTCGACTTCAGAAGGTTGAACAGCGTTACTCGGAAGAACCGATATCCCCTACCACTCATTACAGAGCTCATGGATCGACTCCAGGGAGCTAAGTGGTTTACGAAGTTCGATGTTCGGGAAGGATTTTACCGAATCAGAATCAAAGAAGGTCACGAGTGGATGACAGCGTTCAAGACGAAGTACGGACTCTTTGAGTATACGGTTATGCCGTTCGGATTAACGAATGCGCCGGCAACCTTTCAATCAGTCATCAACAACGCACTCCACGAGTACCTCGGAATCTTTGTTACCGCGTATCTGGACGATGTACTAGTGTACTCCAGCGGCACACGCGAAGAACATGTCGAGCATGTTAAGAAGGTTTTACGAAAGCTTAAGGAATACAAGCTATACCTTCAACCAGGAAAGTGTGAGTTTCACACTCAGGAAACGGAATTCCTCGGATTTATCATTTCAACCGAAGGCGTGAAGATGAACCCAAAGAAGATACAGACTGTACAGGAATGGCCAAAACCCAACACAGTCAAGGATGTTCAATCCTTTTTAGGATTTGCGAACTACTATCGAAAGTTCATTAAAGACTACTCGAAGATCACGACACCCCTTACGGAGATAACGAAGAAGGAAATAGGTTTCAAATGGGAACAGGAACATCAGGAGGCTTTTGATCGAATCAAGCAGATATTCCTGGAGGCGCCAGTACTCGAGATGTACAACCCTCAACGACCCACCAGAGTCGAGACCGACGCGTCTGACTACGCACTCGGAGCTGTACTGTCACAGCAGTGCCCAGATGGAAAATGGAGACCAGTGTTCTACCATTCACGGAAGTTCTCAGGAGCAGAACTTAACTACGATGTTCACGATAAGGAACTACTTGGAGTAGTCGATGCCTTTGAACAATGGGAGGTGTACCTGTTAGGACTCCCCGACACGATCGAGGTTTTTACCGATCACCAGAACTTGACGAGTTTCATGACGACCAAGAAACTCAACCGACGACAAGTGCGATGGGCAGAGATGCTAGCCCAGTTCGACTTTAAGATTACGCACCGCGCTGGAACGCTCAACGGAGCCGCAGACGCTTTAAGTAGAAGGTCTGATTTGCGCGAAGAGGGTCATAAGGAACCACATGACGCCTTACTCAGGACGATGCCCGATGGCAGTCTGAAGTACAACCAGCCGGAACTAGCTAAGGTAGCTAAGGTGGCCGAGCAGTGAAACGTTACAGCAGGAATGCAGCACGAGCAG